TTTTTTTTAACTCAGATTTCTGAATATTTTTGACAAAGACATCCTGTTTTGTGTTTATATAGAATTATTGTTAGATACTATACACCTGCCAGAGAAGAATTTCTCAAAGCCAGAATTTTTTACAGGTATGACTAAACTTGATGATTTAGCCTGGGGGTGTAATTCTTCTGCTTCCTGAACATTCCCCCGAGACTGAGAGCATGCTGACTTCAAGTGCAGCCCTCAGATCAGTGGAATGGGTAGTGCTGTATTCTATATTGTCTGTATTCCAAAATGGGCCTAGTTCACACAGCAAAGTATTGATATCTGATTGGTTGAAAGAATAATTATTATCAAAGTGTATCATGGTAAACATACATGGTAAACATACATGGTAATGATCATATGCAAGTGTAACAAATATGCCCCTGCTAATAACAGGGATCTCAGCTGCCCAGACTGGGGGAGTTCTACTTTAGCACAGCCGGCAAGTTCCCTGTTGCGTGACGCTGGAGACCCGGGTTCGAGCCCGCGCAGTGAGGGATGAACTGGCAGGGCAGGAGCGGCAGGGGTGGAAACCCCAAGAACTGTTACATGAGCACACAGCAAGCATAGGAACTATTTACCTGAACAGAGACAACATTTAACCCGTCACACCTGAAGAAGGCTCCACAGCTGAAATGCTGTGTTTCCTTTCTTTTCTTTTCAACATGGAATAAACCCGTCACCTGTTCCTTTGCAGCCTACACATGCTGACGCAGCTCCCTACTTGAACTAATTAAACTTTGGCTGACTGTGTTAAGATTCATTCTGCAGGTTTAACTATAAATGAAATAATGAAAACATATTAAATGCTGTATACTAATGTTCAGGTAAAGCTGTAAAAAACTGACCTTTTCCCAGTAAAGGTCCACACAGCTGTTAAGTATATACAGTAGTTAGGATGGGCTGATATCTTAGCCCTGAAGTGTGTCATCACACTTGACATATGGCAGGACAGTTACGCCATTGCCAAGGCTGCAAACTACTTCAGTAGAACAGGGGTGACACACCTTAAGAAGGCCACACAGTCAAAATGTGTTTTCTTCTTTACCTTTCAGCATGGAATGAACCTTTATCTGCCCTTCTGCATCCTACGCATGTTGACGCAGCTCCTTACTGAAATGTCTTCCACTATTTCAATTATATGTGTTATGCTTGTTCACTTACATTACTTCATAAAAAAAACAATAGGAGACGGGGCAGCCTTTAGTGTATGTTTTTACTAGAACTTCCTCTGGCACATCAGTAACTTTCAATGTGCACACACAGTACAGTACAATGTAGTGAAAATAACTAGTTCCTCCAATGACAAACTGTATACAGTACATAACATATCTTCATGAAAAGTGTACTCTGTGAATAACTACACTTGGAAAATTGTGTTAAGTTCTCATATCACATAAAATCTAGCTAATTAATACATGTGCAAATATAGATGTATGATTTCTTATATGTGCAAATACTTTTCTGCAATAACTTTGCTTTCTGTAATGTTGTGCTGGGAATTGTGGTAAAACCTAGCAATACATAACTTCAAAATAAGTACTGCATCACACGTAAATAACGATAAAGGAACTAAATAAATTATTTTTGTGGTTTTTGTTTTAAGAACAGATAACGACTTCAGATGTGCTGCCTCGTGTTGTATCTGTGTCTATATGTACAATATACTAACCAATGAGTAATCCCAAATATGAAATAACTAAACCTGTGATTATTTTTTTAACTTTCTTAGGGGTTTTAGATAATGTGGAAATGAGTGTAACAAATGTCAGGCATCACTGACTGATGTGTCCTGCTGTGGCTGTCTATAATCTTGCTCTTAGTTGAAGTGGTTGTAAATGTAATACTGTAAATGTAAATGTAATACTTAGATCTAATATTTAGA